GGGAGAAGGGTGCAACAATGAATGAATGGAATCCCAATATCTCTGTAGATGTTCATTGAAATGAAAAATAAACAACCTAAATTTTAAAAAAAAAATTGTCAACTACTTCATCTTACTTGGATACCCAAGCGATACCCTTGGGTAGCAGCAGTCAGAAGATCAGGAGATGTAATGCACTAGGAAGGTCTGCAGTCAGGGGAATTATTGGAGAGCAAGGCTGTCAGCTTGAAAAATAAAATGTGCCTGATTCTGGTCAGAGTCTTTTCAATCACTTGCTATGCATCTGAGGGCTGGACAGTGAATAAGGGTACACAAAAAGAATCGATGCCTTTGTGTTGTTGTATTGGAGATAAGCACAGAGACTGCCAAAACAACAAACACATATGTCTTGGGGAAAGGACAGCCAGAGTACTCCTTGGAAGCAAGGATAGTGAAGCTTCACCTCTCATAGTTTGGAGATGTTGCTAAGGGAGGGTATTCCTTGGAAAGGAACATCATTCTTGGAAAGGTAAAGGATCAGTGAAAGAGAGCAAAATTTTCAACAAGAAGGACTGACATGGTCTTTTCTGCAGTGTCAAAGGTCATGAGGATGGCACACCTAGGACAAGGTTCAGATCTGTTATTTATAGGGTCACTATGCTTGTCCTCAATGTGACTGTAAACAACAGCACTTATATAGCCTTAATGACCTTACTTTTTCACTTATGAGATATGCAAGTTCACCGTACTTCCTCTATGAGAAATTACAGCCTCTTCATTAATATACATCAGAGAGCTGGACAATGACTGAGAATGTAAAAGAAGAATTGATGTTTTTGAGTTGTGGTGCTGGAGAAGAGTACTGTATATACCATGGACTACTAGAAGCACAAACACATTTGTCCGAGAGGGTGAACCCTGACTGCTCCCTGGAGGCAAGGATTCTGACATATTTTGGGCATGTTGAAAAGAGGGACCAGTCCTTGGAGAGGGACATCATGGAGAGGAAGACCCTTGATAAAATGAATTGACTCAGTGACTAGAGTAATAGGGGTGAGTGTATCAGTTGGCTCAGGATAGAGCAGGGCTCAGAGCTGCTGTACATGTGGTTGCTATGAGTCCCAAGTGACTTGACAGCACATAACAATAATGACAAGAGACTATTTCACTCTTAGGGAGTGTGGATTCCATATGATCACATATCCTTCCTTCCATTAGTTTCCAAAAAAGCAAACTTCTGGTTTGCTTTTAGTAAGTGCAAAGGATATAATAGCATGTACTGATAAGTTTAAACCTCTATGCTAGTATTATCTAATTTGGTTTTCATTTTACTTTCTTTAATGATCACCTTGACCAAGCATTAGTTACTGTGCTGTTATGCATTTACAAGCACAAGATGCCCTAAAATAAATAAATTTTTACGTAAAACTAGTTTTTACCTTGACAATTTAAAATGTTTGTTTTAACATTACACATAGGTTGGTTGTTAAAAAATTAAATTCCAAGACTAAAGTTCTTCCTCATCATGGGTCAAAACCAGTTTGTAGTTGACCCTCTGCTGAGGTTTCAGAGACTTTAAATCCCATGGGAGGGACTGCGCATCCTCTCTCTCAGAGACACTGGTAGATCCGAGCTGCCAAGGTGTCACCTTTAAGATAGCAGCTAACATTCACTGTTGGTGGGAGTGAAAAATGGTGCAGCCACTGTGGAAGGCGGTATGGCGCTTTCTCAAAAAGTTGCAAATAGAGATAGCATTTGACCCAGCAATTCCACTACTGGAAATATATCCCAAAGAGACCATAACTGACATCCAAGCAGATATATACACACCCATGTTTATTGTGGCTCTGTTCATAATAGCAAGGAGTTGGAAACAATCCAGGTGCCCATCAACAAACGAATGGATAGAGAAGCTGTGGTATATTTACACAATGGAATACTATGCTGCACTGAAAAACAAGGAACTCACGCAATATTATTCAAAATGGGTGAACCTAGAGGACATTATGCTGAGTGAAATAACTCAGTCGCAAAAGGACAAAGATTGCATAGTGCCACTGCTGTAAAATGGGACTAATATCAGGGTTGGGATAAGACTGAGAAAAACTGGATAGATTGTGTATACTGCACTGAAACAGATGAGGGAGTGAATAATTTAAAAGTGATATATGATAGGGTATTATGGTTATCACAAGAGTCCACAATTAAGGTTGCATAGTGGAAAGTACTTGGGGTGGTGGGAGGGGTGCAGGGGGATTGTGTACCAGGGAGGGAGTGTTTCTTTTACTTTTGAAAGAGAGGAGCGAACTGGGGGCGAGGGGGGGAGCAGAGGGCTGGGCGGGGAGAGAAGTATAGCAATGAATGAATAGAAATGCAAAATCTCTGTAAATGTTCATTAAAATTATTAAAAGGAAAAAAAACGATAGCAGCTAACCCAGAGTAAAGCCTGAGACACCTCCTGCTAGAGTGTTAGGGCTGACTGCCACTCTGTGTCAGCGTTCTCACTCAATGGCAATGTATAAATAATAGCAAAAATATTACCTGTTTAGGAGTCAAAGGAATAATTTTTTACCATTAAGGAGCTCTGGTGGTTTTGTAGTAAGTAGTTGTACTGGCACCCCAAAAGACCCATGATTCCAATTCACAGCTACAGGAGAGAAGAAGATGAGCAATCTCCTCTCTTGCAATTTACAGCTTCTGAAGATTTGAAAGGAAAGATAAGCTATGACTAGATGGCAATGACCAATAACAACAAATCAAAGCCATTGCCATTGAGTCAATTCTTATTCTGACCTTAAAGACCAAAGTTCTGCAGGCTAAGTTCTAAGGTTATATATAATCTTTACTGAAGCAGATTGTCACGGGGAGAGCAGCAGCTAAGGACTTTACACATGCTGTAGGAGGAGCTAAGACTCCTACATCATGTGTAAAGTACCTAGTTAACAACGAATAATTATTTCAGGTAAAAATCAGTATAAACTTACCCTTCTCCTCCCATTCTTGTTATCTTTAGGCGAAAATCCACAGAATTCAGACTGGGAGGCTTCCATTTCAAAATGTCATCACATCGACCAGGTTTGTATTTCTAAAGTAAGTTAAAACGACAAAAATAACAACAAATAAATTTCAATTTACTTAACAATTATGTCTATTTTTAGTAAATAAAATCACTATTTCTTTTCAGAATACAAATTTTCTTATTATTAAACAATGAGTGTGGCTGGTTATCTACACTTTAAAAAAATTGGCAAGGGAAATCTTTATTTCTGCATAAGGATGCTCACGTGGCACTTAGTATGGCGGACAAGCATACCAGATGGGCAGTTCAACTGGGTTTTATCTCTGTGTCTCACCCCATTGATAAAGGGCTTTGACCTCACAATCTCGTTCCCACCCCAATTTAATTTGTACTTGAAGGAGGGACAGGATTTGAAAGGACGAGGCTAGGGCTTGAGGTAGATTGCAATGTTTTTGTCTCAGAGGATACTCTGGTCCAAGAACAGGCTTTGGTTGATTCACAAAAAGAGTACAAGGACAATGAGGATTTTCTTAGTAATCTTTTGGAGAGAATTCTTTCTTCTATTACTTTGGTTTCAACTCCACCTTTTAACTTTTTAAAGATGTACACAGTACCTCTGAATGTGTCCTATCCTGAACCAATCTCATGGCCTCAGACAGCTCTACCTCCATTACCCCAGTTATTGTGTCAATCTTTTTCCTCCAGGGTCTTCTTCTCTTGTCCTGTCCCTCTACTCTCCCAAGCACAATGTTCTTCTCAAAGGTCTGGTCCATCCTGGCAGGATGCCCAAAGTATGTAAGATGGAGTTTCAAAATCCTTGCCTCTAAAGACCAACATGGTCTCACCCCCTCAGGACAAATATGTTTATTCTCTTGACGGTTCATGGCATGTTCACTGTTCTTCTCCAGCACAATCCAAAGGCATTGATACTTTCCCTGTGATCCTTAGACTAACTGTCCAATTCTCTGATGCCTAGCAACCAACTGTGAAGACCATGGCCTGGCCTGGATCAGGCACACTTTAATTTCCAGTCAGACACTGATGACTCTGAAGAGGTCCCTGATAGCAGACATATATTTTTTTTTCTTACAACATGAGGTGTGAGGAACAACTTTAGGCTTTCCTACATCCCTTACATTTATAAGGCTTCTCTCTAGTTCAAGTCTTTATATATTGAGTGAGTTAGGAAGCATGTGTAAAGGCTTTCCTCCTATTCCTTACATTACTAAGGCTTCTCTGCACTGTAAATTCTTAAATGTCTAGTGAAGGATGAGGCCCTACTAAAGGCCTTCCCATATTCCTTACATTCATAAGGCTTCTCTCCACTATGAACTCTTTTATGCAAAGTGAGTGCTGGTGCATTTTCCCACATTCCCTACAGATGTGTTTCTCTCCACTGTGACTTCTTAAATGTGCAATAACGTTTGAGGAACAACTGAAGGCTTTCTCACATTCCTTACATTCATAAGGTTTCTCTCCTTGGTAAGCACTTAAATGCCCACTGAGGTTGGAGTGCAGACTGAAGGCTTTTCCACACTCTTGACATTTATAGGGCCTCTCTCCATTGTGAGACCTTATATGTATAACGAGGGATGTGAAAGAACTAAAGGCCTTCCCACATTCTTTACATTCATTAGGCTTCTCTCCAGTGTGAATTCTATTTCCAGTAAGTCCTGACAGTTGACTAAAGGATTCCCCATTCTTGACATTTATAAGGCCTCTCTCCAGCATGAATTCTTACATGTATAGGTGAGGGATGAGGCCCTACTGAAGGCTTTTCCACACTCCTTACATTCGTAAGGCTTCTCTTCCCTTCACTGTGAACTCTTGAAAGCCCATTGAGTCCTGATGCATCACTAAAGGCTGTTTCACAAACCCTACAGACATAAGGCTTCTCTCCACTGTAAATTCTTAAATGTGCATTAGGTTAGAAGAACACCTAAAGGCTTTCCCACATTCCTGAGATAGATATGGTTTCTCTCCACTGTGAGAATTCATAGGCCGACTGAAGGCTTTGCCACTCTCCTGACATTTGGAGGGCCACTCTCCACTTTGTGTCCGTCTGTGTGTAGTGAGGGCTGAGTGCTGTCTGAATGTTTTCCCATTCCTTACAACCATAGGGCCTCACGAGTTCTTATGTGTGTTGTGAGGGAAGAGGCCCAACACAAGGCTTTCCCACTCTCCTGATATTCAAAAGGCTCCGCTCCAGTGAGTTCTCATGTGCATCATGAGGGATGAGGTCCCACTGAACGATTTCCCACATTCCTTACATTCATAAAGCCTCTCTCCACTCTGTGTTGTTACATAGTTAGTGAGAGAGAAAGGCTCACCATAGGCTTCTTCAAATTCCTTACACTCATAAGACATACTTCTTTTGCTGAATTTTTACATAAAATGAAGAATCAAAGAAAATTATATGGGAAACACTAGCTTCAGGTATGTTCCAGAGGAAGAAAAACTACAGAAGTGATTATAACTGGTAACATTTACCACTTCTCACTAAGGAGTGTTATCAGAGAATCTGTAAGTGTTGATTTAGAAAAGGAGTTAATTCACATATACCTTACATTAATGGTTGTCACCTACCCAACCCTTTCTAGCCCCCCTACTTTGCAAGCATTCTATATGAGGGATTAGGTGAGAAATACAACTATAGACTTCTCCACAATCTCTATGCACTGTCAGGTACCCCATACAGTGTGAGAAGTGCTATGCTGCTATAGAATGAGGGAGCCAGGGATCCACAAAGTTTTTGCCATAATCACAGCAATCCAAAAGACTTCTGCAGAATTGTTACTGCTCAGGACAATCTGGAATCCAGCTGAAGGCTTTTCCATAGATTGTCTTAATCACTTTTACAGATGTTGTTAACTATAGGATTTCTTAAAAGTCTCCTCTGGTTTTTGTGCTGATCTCTATAACTCTGGAGATTGTTTGTATGAAGTATTAAATGTTAATCTTCAGGAATCACATCATTGTTTAGCCACTGGATACCATTTTCCATCATTAAGATTTCAAGTGATTAATCCAGTAATTTAAGTTAAAGTTCACAACTAAGAACACACCACAGACCGGGGCGCCTCAGACACTCTGTATTCAGAGAAGCTGCCGGTAGGCAAAGTGAACAGTTACAAACCAATGGCAACTGAAAAAGTGAAAAAATGACAAACTGACAAAGTGACAAAGGTCACTTGCAGTTTCTAGGCCGCCGGTAAAGCTCTCAAACATGGATTAACAAAAGACCAGATGAGTTATGGGAGGATGTCAAAGGTATCATATAGGAAGAGGACAAACGGTCATTACAAAGACAGAAGAGGAAGAAAAGACCAAAATGGATGTCAGAAGA